TTTTTCAGTGTCACTATATAGGACATACTCGTCAGCCAGTATCATAAGCACCTATCTTTCGGTGCATTTCACTGATTCATATTCACTGGTTACAATTACGAGCAGTAAAGTTACACAGGCGTTTTTGTTATTGACTACACACAATTAACACTGCAATGAAACATATTGCTCTCAACTGTTTGTGACGAGGTTGGATGAATAATATCTCGATTTTGAGCAAAATTAAAAGCCACAAAAACATAGCACAGCTTACCCAAATCGTCATGCAGAACTACACAAGTTATTTACTGGATATGATAGAGAAGATTTGTAGCTCAAATGGATGATTTTGATGTGTTTGTGTTCTCCGAGCTGGAGAGTTAATTTGTGAAGCTTTCATCGCCCTACTAGGTGACATCTTCAGCACATATTTCAATTTGAAGTGGACTTAGATTTCTCCACGAGTTTATTATTCATCTTTCCCGGTGATCCAGAACGTGTGATGATTCACTGAAGTATGAATCCTTCGATACAGCGAGATAGACAAAATTTATCAACCGGTAAGAAAGAAACCTCAAACACAAAGAGTCAAAATTCATGTCAAAGAGGCAATCGGTTCCCATACAAATAACCTTCAAGGTGTGAAAACACACAAAAACAACCTATCACGGCCAAGGTCACCGGGAGAGATAATTATTAAACTCTTGGAGAAGTCGAAAAGCTAACTTCAAAGTGAAGTATACGCTGAAGATTTCCTCGAGTAGGGCGATGAAAGCTTCGCGAATTGACTATCTAGCTCAGAGAACACAAACACATCAAAAACGTTATATACTGAAATCTTCACAAGTGAAGAAAGCGATTCATATGGTATTTGAATTTGAGAAATCTGCAGGAGTGTAATGAGCATCTATGAGCGAGCTATTCCGTTTGTACAATTAAGAAAGGTTTGCAAATAATGTGGTGTGTAATATGTGTAGGAATGTATAAAATTAGCTTGGTGGGTGAAGTTGAGAACAAGGAAACTGAAAATAATTGTGAAGCCGATATAGTGTTTATATTTAGGATCGTTGTTTCGTTATTACCATGAGTACGTCTGATGAATGAATGAAGTCTCTATCACACAACTCAGTTTTTCACCATACTTTATTAATGTGTCGCAAACTTTTCTAAAATTACCGCAAAAATATGGCAAATCACATGATAAGTTATTCCTTTCAACGTCAATCGGCACTCACGTGATTCTTAGTAGCTATTAAAGTAATAAACACAATGAATCCTACTCCCGCGATTCCACCTGAAAAACTCAAAAGTATAATAATCGTTTTCTTGGATAGCTTTCCCATTTTGTATCTCAAAATTAGAGCAGCTACAGAAACAGCCAATGTCAGGAACCATGATAAAATATTCCAAAATCCAACAGCTGCTGTTATACCAGGTATTCCCCAAGACGACAATAAAAAACCAACAGTGTGTATAGATTAGATTTAGGTGCAGAATTGTCGATATCTTCAAAGAAACAAATTCATAATAATGTGTTCGTATAGACAGTAAAATAGTTCAACTGTGTTTGGGACTGTTATCAACATCACACGGTGATCGTTAGACACTAATATTAATAATTTTTTCTTCTGGATTTCCAAGTGAAACTTAATGCTTTGACAGCAACTCTCCATTTTTCTCTCTTTTCTACAGTCGTTTCTCCACAGGTCGGCCTACTGTCGCTTATTTGTTATAATCTACTCTTACGATATCCTCTACGGCATTCCCAAAAAATCACTGAACTCGTCATTTATCATTCATGTTCAACCTTATATGTTGGTACCAGCAAGTATACGGCAGTTACCATAGCCTATAAGATAATATTGGTACTTACCACAATTCCAAGAAGTATACGTAGCGGGATATATTTCAATTGAATGTTTGTCACGAATACACAGATAAATAGAAGCATAGCACTAACTGAACTGAAATGAATTTGTAAGCAACACTAGTAATTAATCCCAACAAGTAGTAGAATATTTTTGGATTATTCCACTGCCTGATGAGTACATTACAAGACATATTAAGCATTAAACATTTCGCAAGTGTATGCTTCGAATATGATGACTTAATACCTGAGTGACGAGGTACAGTGGTAGAAACCACTCCACTTGAGACTCGTGATATACATGTAATATTCTGAATTCACTACTTGCTTCATGATGTAAGCGGTTCTTTTTCTCCTTAGACGTGACAGTTCTGATTGATCTCACCGAAGGAGTACAATAAAGCGGTAGAGAATTTATATTCGATATAATATCACACTGAAGACTATTTAAACTTGGGGAAATTGATACGTACTGATCATGACAATATACAAACTGACTTGGTATCTAAGCAAAATCAGAGTCCAACTTTTTATTAATTGCCTAGATCATGCCACAATGTGAAAAGTCTTCGTCAAAAATCTTGAACGGGTGATAATTATGTAATTATACTAAATTATCCAATTTAATGAATGCTTTCCAATGAATGTTCTGTATGTTACTTCCTAAAGACCTGTTGACTGTGATGAGATGGAACAATACAGTTAGAACAAACGTATTGTTGCCGATGTGTTTACGTGAACACAGAGAATAACCGTCGTAGTTCATCACCTAACACGAAACCGCACAAACAGGCTTTGCTAGTGAAAAGAGAGGAAGAGCACTAATTATGTCCGTGAAATAACATTTGAAAGTGAACAGTTTATTGGTTTACCAGCTCAAATTGTGTTCTAAAAAACAGGAAAGAGACTTAGCGACTTTAGGCAGGAAACAGCAGCATTGCCATAGATGCATCAAAACACCGCAAAAGGCATAAAACGTCAAGTGTTTTCACCCGGAGTCAGTGAGATGAAATGACATCTACTTTTGGAACCATTCCAGAAGCCGGTCAGCTTACGAATCGTCTTTCAAAGAAAGCAAGTAAAACCGTCGAGATATGGGGTGTCTACACGATGTTCAAAGAAGGGAAGGCTGCTCAAACTGCCAAAGAAACGAAAAGATAAGCTAAGGTGTTGAGAATCTGTGACGGCGAATGCAAACGTAGTCAACTGTCTAAATTGTTAGCTGGAAAATCAGTAATGTACTTCAATCATGCAGATGAAAACCACAAGTACAGTTAGGGAGTAAGTATCATGATTTCACGAGCAGCGTCAGAAATTCTTATCTCTCACAAGGCATAACCAGCAAGATCCAAGGCAAAAGGTTGGAAATTCGTACGCATCCTGCAAAAATGTAAACTGCGAGATACCTCTGCTGCAGATATCAGAGACACATTGTAGATGTTACACAGAACCACCATATATGAAATTGATGTTGGTGAAAACCTACTCCTACATTTTGCGAAGAAAGAAGAAGCAAGAAAAAGTATTGTTCTCTAGAGACATGTGATAGCCTGTAGAGGAGAGAATGATGGTGAAACATAAGATGAACCTATTCAATGACAGACAACTGAACGCCAGCCAAGAAGAAAAGCGGACCAAATGGAATTCCTTTTGTGGCACTGCAAATTGATCTCGACATAAAAGTGGATATCTTCAGGCTACTACCACAGAAGTAAAGGGAGGAAAAGAACGCACCAGTTGAAAGATAGGCTTTTCTGTGAAACTACCTAAGAAGTACTTCTTAGACCATTGTAAAAACTGGATGCACCCAGAATAAAAACGGTATTCAGGAAAGGCAAATCATATACTAGCCGAATCGCAATGCTATGCATCATCACCGAATACAGCATAGAATGACAGTCACTTCCGTACTTCATCTCTGTTTACACTGAAAAATCCTTCCGCAGTGTTTATCAAAAAGTAATTTCGAAATGACCTCAACTGTTTGGTGTCACTCATGCTTTCGCCAACTTCACTGAATAGCTATCCGACAATGCAACATACCAATTTATTCACGGTGTGAAGGTCAGGGATGCTTCAGAAGTGAAGAAATGAGTGAGACAAGACTGAGTACTATTACTGTTGATATACGTGATTATGGCTGAACAGTGAACATGTTGGGTTGACAGGAAGATTCATCAAGGTTTTACCATCGAAGACGACTCATGTGTAATATAACACAAACTTGAATGTCTTCAGGCAAAAATCAACCAGTTAACGTGCGACGCAGCTAGAGCTGAAATTTTGAGTTGAGAAGTTGTGTTTGCTCACCAACCAAGAACACACACTAATTGCTATTGAAAAAACATATATGAGTGACGTCACCACATTCACTCACCTTGGGCGACATCGTTTTAAATACCGAAGCACGAATGCAGATATAGACATAGGGTAGGGAAAATAAAACAGAAGTATATTAACTTGCAATATGTGTTGATAAATACCACAATCATCATTGGGAACAATAAATCATAATTTTTTAAATTTAATTTTCGATTACATTTATTTAAGCTCTGATTATTTGTCCACTTCACCTTGAGTATTAAGTAACTTTCAAGTTTTGATCTAATTTACTTATTGAATTGTCTACACATATACATAATACTACCTTTGTTATTCTTATCACCAACTGCATAAACCTCATTATCATTTTTTTGGTTATCATTATATCATCATCATTAATGACGCTCAAAACATTTGCCGCATTATTATTATTATTTGATTTACAAGATTACCGTCATTGGTTAAAATTCTTATACATAAATCTATGTAAATAAGAGTAAAGTCTAAAGAAGATCTAATTGAAAACAATATTTTTAGCTCTTCTGTCTTGTTCTAATAGGTAATGACTTGATGTCAAACTAAAACAAACACTTCTTGAGAACTATTGAATATTACTCATGCGAGGACATTTCAGAATCTAACGTTGTTTAGGAAAAAATTATCGTGTCATCATAATCAGTGCTTTACATCTAGAAGTATTTTGGACGAAATTGGTCTTTCAAAGAAACTGTATTGTAATAGTGAACGAATACTTTTACTATCTGAACGCCTCTAATGTTTTGTGAAATTTCTGTCTCATGTGACTAACTGATTTCATAATTTTCTTCTTCAGGATGCTTGGCTCAATCCCCACAGCAGTGATTATTTTTGTCAAAGCCGTTCAAGAGCGCTTAGCCTTGAATATTGGTCTGATAGTACTTGCTGTAAGTTTCACATAATGCAAATTCTCTATAGCATAATCTTGCACAAAACACTGAATGCAATAAAAGGAGGCTGTCCGTATGATAAAACAGCTAATACTGCTGTTCGGGATCACTGGTACAGAAATATCTGTAATAGTTCATTTGAAATGATTGACTACAAGGAATTAAAATCTCATTTATTGTAAAGGCAAGGTATTTATATCGACCAGCTTGATACAGCTTGCATCGCTTATTACAAAGCAAATGCATAAAGAACATGATTTATGTCTTCGATGCTAATGTGAAATCGTAGCTACAATAGGATTCAGAGACTTGATTCATCACTGAAAGCATTTCCAACAGCCAACTATGGCCTTCTATCAAGAAATGCTTTCGATGATTCTATACTGAATATCAGACTGTGAGTCGAAGATGATTAGCAACGGTGAAATCTGACAATATATTTTCTGATACGAATGTAGGAAAAATTGGAGATGGATAGAGCATACGCATGTGGAAATGTTGAGTGACAACAAATGTCACCTAAATTAGAAAACAAATGATGTAACCGGTGGTTGAAGGCCGATTTTCGGGAAATCATGTGAAGCCTAGGTGAAGGCTGACGTGGGATGGCATAGCTAGGTTCAAATATTCTTTAAAGAAGAGTTGCTGATTTATTCCTATATTTTAAATGGGAACTGGAAGAGAAACAATAATAAAAAAGTAAGGCTACCACTCTGTGTTGTTAATAAAATTACAATTATTATTTCCAAATATAAAGTATTTACTGTTAATTTCATCATAAAATCCTTAATTATCCATTAATTTAATGACAATATAACAATAGTTTTATTACTTACAATACGTTTAGACTATATGCACAATTTGCATTGTAAATTATTGCATATCTGCTCTTCATCGAGTATTTTCAATTAAAAAAGCCAGTTCCAGTACATTATATTACAAAGTGATGTTAGTTCTGAAGAATAAAATAATACACTACGGTATTTTTCTTCAGTCCCACAGAAATGGTCAACGATAGGCTGCAAGCAAATCAAAAATTTGCATGAAAGCATTTCTAGGCCCACAGATGTAACTGAATGAGTTTAACAACAAGAACTAAAGAAAACAAGATTTGTTGTCTTGGATGGAATTTCAGACTCCTCACAGATTCAAAGATAAAAGGATAAGGTTGTAATATTATAGTTTCTTCGCTCAATTTCTCACATTTCGAAAAGTAATAATTATAAAATGTGAAAGAGCTACATACTACCAGTGTATTGAATTTTTGTAAATATATTAACGCGAATTTGTCTCATTAAACATCCTAATATTTTCGTATTTAAATGTAATCTATGGTCAATACAGGTTTTATTATTGTCTTTCGGAATACCTGGTCTAACAGCCGACAAGGGATTATGGAATATTTTATCATGGATTCTGACGATGGCTGTCTCTTTCACTACACTGATAATAGGGTACAGAATGGAAAAATTGACTAAAAAAGCGAGCATCATAGTGCTGGGATTGGCTGGTGGGATAGCAGCCTTGGGTGTCATTCTGTGGATCGCATTAGGAGTTGCTCAGTATCCGGTAAGTAACACGTGTTCTTTATAGGAATAACGATTTCAATAATTTCCTATTTTCACCGTACGGCTTATTTTACTTTGGCCTGATTACAAGGAAATAAAGTTGTCTCAGTGGAGCAAAAAGATGTCCAGTAGCTGATTCTTCCTATTTTCCGAAATACACATAACAGTTGCAAAACATACCGACTTCAAATGGATACTGTATTATCCATGAAATACAAAAGCTTCGTGTAACGGGATGCTAATCTTCAAAATCCCGTCTGAATTGTCTATTTACAAGAATGATACTCGCTTTAATATTTGAATTGATTATGCCCTCTCCTCCTAGACTCTGTGTTATATTTCTGACGCTTGCATATCAACTACACACCTAATATTTGTCTGCATTACTGTTGAAACTTAAGGAGAAATGCTTCTCTTTGCGGCTGTGTACTGGCGATGAAAATGTGTTATTATGTGATTGTGATTTTGTTTGAATAAAGTCAGCGTTGGCCGACACGAATTTCACCTTGCACTGTGTCAGGGAAGTAATTTTTACACAATTCATTATTCTCTCTTGCTTCCTACAGCCGATGTAGCATACAAGGTTTTGCTGCCTAGCCGCATTGCTGAGATACTCTTCATCGCGATTAACTGTATTTCACCTGCTATCGGGCACTTTGGGTGACATACGTTTTGGCGAGCTATTCAGCTATTCCAGAATTCACTAAACTCTGCTACTTTTATCTCCCTCTCATGCTTTCGAGATTGGTTCATTGTTATTTTCAGTTTTTTGCATGCAACTTAAGCCTTCTGACCAATATTCAAGATTCTGCCAGAGAATAATACACATACTACATACCAAACTCAGCATAAATTGTTCCTGGATATTGATAATATTTATAAATATCTCTGAAACTCACGCAAAGCATCAGTCTATAATTTTATGAAAGTAAATTAAATGTTTAACCTATACGTTTATCCGTATTATTATGTAAGAGATAAAGCAATCATTTAAGTTTGATGAAATGGTGAACCATGTTACTTCAATTTCGTTTTTTTCAGGTAGCTGCAAAGTATGTTTCCGCCTTAATCGTCATATTCGCTATTTTGATGGTAAGTCAGAAATTTAATTTCGTGAACATTCATAAGTTTAGCATTCCACAGTAGGGAAGTGCACAGTCAATGAAATTTACTTCTGATTACTTTATTTTTGTTATTCCTTTGGGCTCCAAGTGAAGCACATGGCTTCACTAAGATTGATTCGCCTTGATTCGCAATATTTCCTGATATCTCATAATTTCTTCAGTCTGCACTGTTTATATTCAACGTTACATGCAAACACTCTGCCTAAGTCAGTGCTTATGTCCCTAGTAGGATCATTCATGTTTCCATGTTTTCTTTCATTGTAACAGGTGTTATATCTAACTGGACAGGGTATAAAACGTTGTGGTAAGGCTGAGACAGATAGTCTTCTACCAATTTAGTTAACCTTGATCACTTGGACATCAGTGATTATAATTTATGTATTGATATCTGTTATGTTATCAGGAGATCCAAGTGGACAGCAGATGAATCGAAAGGTTTTCATTTTGATTTTTGAATGAACAATTTACCTTTCTTCACCTGTTATTCGTATTGTTATCAAAATGATTACATTTTGAAGTACAATTCGAAATAATATAGTTTCAGTTTCTTTATTGGGATATGGCGACATTCAGTAATGTGTTCGATAGTTAAACAGACTACATACGAATTTCGCCCAGCTACTGATATGATCTACAGAATCATCGAAGACCAGAGAGTAAAATCAGTTGTTTCGTCCGTGTTTGAGTCTCCACATAGTAGGTACCCATAACCTAGCTGAAACTGAACCAAGGATCCAAATTATTATTAGAACCACTGATCAAATTTGGAACAAATAGAATCCTCACAAAGTGACAATAGAACATTTTCTTTGCTTTAATTCAAAACGTGAACGTCTGAATCGCTTTTCAATGTGGGTTAGACGTATTTCGCTGAAATAATTTACAAAAAATATCCTTGAAGGAAATTTTGAAATGCACATAACAAATGATTCACAGAATAAGACAAACATACAAACCCTGAGGAAATTTGAATTTTTTCCATTATAAAACATATACTGAAGTGAGTTGTTAGTCCTACTATCGAAGTTTAGTGTATGGTTTTCTCAACTCGTATGTGGCGTTAAGAAATGGTGATTGTGTGAGTGCTATATAAGTGCTTATAATCAGTCAATATTATTCTGAAGCGGTATGGATGGTAATATCGAGACGTATCTTACAAATACATAGCAGTCTCATTACTCGTCAAGTAATACTGGTTGACGTATGACTTCGTTGGAACAAAGTTTGGAATGGTCATAACAATACCTAGCATCAATCCATTACTTTTGTGGTTGTTTTTTGAGTATGGCTGGGGAAGGATGGTCTGTACCATCTCATCGGGTTTCATCTGAATCCAAGAAAAGTAGCAACACTCAATAAACTTCTTGATCCGCTGAAATCTTATTGCAGTCTAACTACTTAATCACCTTTGAATACATTTCCATTGTATTTCGTTCACTTGAAAAGTTTCCATAACTAATGCGTGCAATAATAAGTGTGAAAATGTGAACTGGTGCGTTTTGACGTATATGACGAAGGTTTCCAAGGTTTCAAGACGTCGCATATACACTAGCTGTTGAATATTTTCATTCACCGCACAAATTCTCCGAAAAAATGAGGCACTTGAGGGATTTGAACTGATTAGATGTGTCCTTAGAAGCAGTGGTTGGCTTTTGAAATAACTCTTCACGTTGCTAGTGTCCTTTTTTTGATGTAATCCAAGTGAATGTTAGAAGTGTAATATTCAATTTTCAAATGACGGAAAGGTTGGAAGGAAGCTTCCCCCATTCATTCACTCGTTAGTGGCGATAATATGTATTAATGAACATTTGTTAGCTTGCACAGGTGTCATTTTTGTTTAACTGGGTGACAACTTAATTTTGGATAATTTGGTATAGCACAGGAAATCTGATACGAAATAAGCAGCTCCTTCTTTGTCTGCCAGATTTGGTTTTCAGAAAGGGTAATTTCACATTTCACACCGAAATAATCTTTGTCATAATTGTGTGTGCGATGATAGTGAAATCTTTACACGTATGACAGCGAAACATCGCGAGGTAAAAAAAGCACTTTGAGCGAATTCCTTTGAATGAAATCTTACAATGATCAATGATACAAAAATGGGATTGATTTCAAGATTATTTTGCCATAAACTGGATTCAGTTGAAATTGGCAGATAGGACGTAAGGTTGTGTCCCTTTTGGCTAACGCCCAACGTGTTCACTTTTCAAAATGAAGCTCCTGGAGTCAGCGTCTGGTGACTCATGAGTGCTTAATTCTCGATACCCTAAAATGTTACATAACAGCTATGCGATACACCATTGTGGCTTTCAGTGGTTCTCTTACTGAAGTAAGCTAGTGATCATTCATGAAGCCACTTAAATCGCTACCAACCAACACTTCACAATACATTTTATGTATTCAATACGACACTTATTGTTATAAAGGTTGGTTCTCGAAAACACCTTCATACAAACCAGATGCACCACTCTTTAGCATATCATCACATACCGATAGTACTTGAATAAGATTTCAATCTTATTTACTGTTCACCTTCAGAAGTGAGTGAGACAAATCATATCAGAAGTTGCTACCACTAGAATGGAGTGAGGAAATATTAAGTCACTGAAATAACTGGTGATGATTCACTATTACTTGCATCTACCTCCCCTCTTTCCACATATAGTTGCATTCTATCTCCCGTGTTACATATTTTCAAATCGTTAGCAATAATCGTACTAGGTATGGAGTGCCAGGTAACGATGGAAAGTCAGTCGATCATGTTGTGATGCTAAATTGATTGAGACGTCTGAGAAAATCGCTACTCATACCAATACACTACATCCTTCAAGAAGCAAAATTAGCTGGAATATAATTAGTTTGGAAAACTGACAAAAACTGAAATCGATGATTAATCCATCAGGACTTTGATTACTGGTTCGAGTAATGTTGGAAAACATAGTCCGCCTAATTGAAATCCCTAAAGTGTCAACAGTCAACAGGTTCAGACTAGTGGCGAAGTGGTTATAAATGGCCGACCGTCGTGCAGATATGGTCACTGTTGTTTGACATCTCTGAGATCCATTAAATCTGCATGTTTTTTCCACGCTATGATTCCTTACCTCGTTAAAATGTTCTATCATTAGAGCGCTTTTGAACTTCTTCATCTACTTTTGTCCTATTTGGTGTATTGCAATATGAAGCGCTTTATTTCTGAGCAAAAGTGCACGCTGGAAACCCAGTTGATCATTCAGTGTAGCAAAAAGACATATGTGCTCAACTTCTATACAATGGTTCTTGTGTTCTAAATTTCTGAAAGATTAAATATATATACACTGAACACATTTCTACTTTTCCTACTTCAGCATTAAAAAGCTGTCTTGATTCAGTCTTTTAAGTCATAATTAACGTGCACTGTGTAAAAATTTGCTCAAAATCTTTCGATAACCACTTCGTAAGCAAATGAGTAATGTCAAACACAGGAATTTTAGTCAGTATTACTGTGATTAGAAGAATGATGAATAAATGAGACTCGTAAATGAAACTGTTATAAACACGTTTTTTTCCTTTATGTTCTAAATGCAACGTGAGGCTTCAAGCTGGAGGTTTGAAGTTTTTGTAGTAATGGTGTTTATTTTACTAGATGTGGTTGTTAGCCCAAGCCTTCTTTCTTTTCAAGTCTTAACACTGACTTAGCGACGTAAAGGTGTGCAAAGGCTAGGGATCAGACCCAGGCCACCTACATCGTTGGTGCACATTATACCGCTGTGACATCGACGCCCCATTATACACCCAGTTTTGCCTTTGATTAGTTCATTATGAGAGACACTAAATGAAATTCTGTCAACTAGTTACTTTGAGCAAGTATGAATTCCTCTTTTCAGAGGATTTTATTCTG